GCATACGACATGAAATTTTGGGTCCCAGCGTTCTCTCGCTCTTCTAGCTGCTCCATCTTCACCAGTCTTTTTCCACAATGGCGGTCATACAAACAAAACAAGCCGGTACCAAACTGGAAATATGCATAGTGTAGGGGGGGGTGTAGATTTGACCAATCAGAGGCCTCCTGTCTGCGGTCATCTACAATTTTGGAGAGGTGCAGCAGAGCGGCGATTTCATTTATCTTCTGCACCACGGGCATAAGTAGGGAGAACAAGCAGAGTGAGTTTTGTGTAATATCAGACTTTATTATTGAAATAAACAGGATTTAGACAGGACCAGAAAGGAAGGTGCATCTTCTTTCTGCCTTTCCCCAACGATCAGGGATCTCCTGGTTGTGTCTGGTGCTGCAGTGTTCTAATTGGGTAAAACACCTTTAAATCTAGTGGCTGAGCACATACAAGACAACCTCCTGATGATATAATATGCAAAAAATGCCACCAAACGTTATTAACGCCACAGCACGTATTTTACGCAAGCGCGCGGTTTTTTTACGTCATCAGGCGTTTCCAGCCAGAACGCGCGGTGACGTAAAAAACGCGTGCTCGCGTAAAATACGGGTTGGAACTGCGCGTTATTGTACAGACGATTATTGGCCCAATCGGCTTGCCATATTCACTACTTATACAAAATGCACCCAGTGCAACGTATGCCGGCGTTTTTGATCTTTGGTATGTCAGGCATACGCTGGTCTAAATCTTTATGGTGTGACGGGGCTTACAGTAGCTCCTCCTTGGTCGGAATCGCGTTAATTGCAAAGTTGGTAGCCCTGACTAGGAATTTGGCTTGGTGTTAATGGTGCAGATAATATAGATGCATCAAAACTTGTCGAAAGTGAGAATTAAGTAAAGCTTTTTCCGATGAAAATATCCAAATCGGCTTGAGTTTCTGGTCACTACGTTGGAAGTGTTTCTTTTCTGTAACATCAGAGCCTTGTTGTCTTCAGGTACCGACAGAGGCCCCGCAAAGATTCCAGGAGGAGGTCCAGGTCCCGCTCCGCGTCTCCCAGAGACATGAACCCCGCCGCCGCCTCCCACTACGCAGAGGAAGACCCACGCCAGGCTCACTCAAAGTCCCGCTCCATGTCCCGGTCCCGTTCGCGCTCCCACTCCTGGGCCGGGCGGAAGAACAGAGGCCGCTAACAGACCCCGCCCCCATGTTTGACCTGCAGCGGTCTTTGGTGTGAATTTGACGTCCGCTCGGCCGTTTGTAGGAAGCTCCATTTTTTTTTTTTTTTTTTTTTTTTTTAGGCCAGCGCTGCTGCTCTGTTTCTTTTTTTTTCTAGAAATATTTCTGTAATGTTTTCCCCGTCGGAACATAAAGTTGTGGTTTGTGTGAATGCGATTCAAACGTTCAGTTACTGATTTTTATCTGTTTAAATCATCTGCAGCAGATTTTCTTTCTCAAACTAAAACTTTCAGTATTTGCTGTAAAAATCCCAGCTGTTGTTTTTAATCCTGTACATCAGAACCGCTCATCCTTGCCGACCCGTTAGAACCGGCTTTAGCTGAGCGACTCCGGGTCCGTTAGAGCCGATCCCGACTGCGGCTGAGTGACTGACGGCGGTTCAGTCGCTATATGATAAAGATCAGAAAGTGTTAAACTGTGTTTTCTGTCTGTCTGTCTCTGAACTGCGTTTCTTTGCTGCGTCTGACGGTCCGCATCGACCCGAATGTCCCTGCATGTTTTATTTTCACTGTCTTTGTTAGGAAGCAACTTTTTATTTTCTGTAATAAACCAACAACATTCAGTATAAGGGATCCGTGTGTGGATTCAGTTTGTAAACTCTTGGTCTGTTTGGTACGGAAGAGGATTAGGGCCACTGGAAAAAAAAAGTAAACTGATTTTTAAATTTTATTTCATTTTAACATGGGAAAAAGGTCAGAATTCTGAGATTAAAGTCAGAATTCTGACTTTTTTTCTCAGAATTCTGACTTTTTTCCCAGAATTCTGACTTTAATCTCGGAATTCTGACTTTTTCCCCAGAATTCTGACTTTAATCTCGGAATTCTGACTTTTT